ATCAGGTACTCTGCATCAGGAAAGACCTCGTGAGGGGATAACAACTGGTTAAATGAAAACATATTTCCTTTTTTGAATTATGGGTTGATGAATCTCGGTTTTTTGTTTATTTTTTAATTGCCTATTTTTTTGTATCCTCGCTGAACGGCTAAGTGGGTTCCTGTATACTTTTCAATATTCCATCATAGTTCCGAGACCCTAAATGATATAAGTCGATGTCTTTTTTTATCAAATACCAAATCCAGATCCGCCGTGTTCCAATCATAAATATTTACATTGTTGAGATAGGGAATGTATTCTTGTTTGGGTTTATCGCAATCGATTAATTTTAGCACACAGCAAAGTTCTTGGCGTGTCGAGTATGGCCAATTATGTAGATTATTGAATTTCCTTCAGTAATTCGTTTCTGATATCGATTATATTTTATGTGACAGAAAAATTAAGAAATCATTCATTGTTCTATAAGGTCGCGAAGCTGGGGCTTTTGCGATAAGCAGCGGACTCGCTCGGATTATAAATAAACCAACCAGGATTCCTGACCGTGATAGAGAATAGGCTAGTCTTCTGCATCTATTCCTAGCAAACAACCCAGAAATTAACAGTCACCGAAAGGTCTCCAGCGGGATCTTCTGACTACAAACTCATTTCAGTGTTGAGTGAATTACCAATAAATGTGGGAGAACAATCAAAGCCGCGCCAAATTTGGCATTACATATCTGCTGAGTGGGAGCATCTTCAAGACCATTTCCGAAAATTTCCCTGGCTACCTGTTTGTTTCAGCTCCAATGATCCATTGAATTGCGTTTCTGAAGTCATGTAAGTTATTCTATCATCCATGGATGAATATATTTCTTTTTCAATGAAATGAAATTCTAACGGCAAACCTTTGATTCAACAAAAGTTGCGAGCAAGCTGTCTCTTTCAAAAATCATGCCTACCGGCAGTAGTGCTAAAATTCCAGTCACGAAAACCGAACTAGGTTTGTTAATGCTTGCAACAGCTGCAAACTTAGAATAAATGAAAACAAAGAACTTCACAATCAGATGATTAGGGATAAACTACTTGCCAATCGCCTAGTTAGGTGAATTCAAAGAGCCCAATATGAACAAGGCATTAGGTCCTGATGAAGTGCCCGTCATGGATATCTATCGAATACTTTTGCCTTCAACGCTGGTGTTCCTCAGGGATCCATATTGTCTTCATTAGGTTACTCTCTTCAGTTGAGCACCTTGTGATACACGACATTTTTTGTTTTGTTATCAGGCGCAGATGGTCTTCCGACCCGTGAACATGCCACATATAATTGACCATATGAAAAACATTGATTTTCCAGATTCAGACCATAAACTTTCAAGGATTGGCCTTGTGATTTGTTAATGGTCATGATGAATGCAAGACGAATTGGAAATTGAAGTGTTTTAAACTCAAACGGCATATCGGTTGGGATCATCGGGATCCTCGGAATGAGAACTTCCTCACCTTCGAATTTTCCATTGAGTATCGTCACGTAAATCACATTGTTCATCAATTTACTTACCACCAAACGTGTACCGTTGCAAAGTTTTGGTGGGTTTATGTTGCAAAGCATGATTACTACGGAGCCAACCTTCAGGTGTAAATTGTGAGGTGGTAAGCCAGGCACATCCAAGGAGTTTCAAAATTCAATTGGATAGTTGGTGGCTTCATCTCTATTTGTTACACACTCAATTGATTTGAATGTATGCATTGTTCCAATGATATCATTCTGAATTATGTAGTTTAGTCATCTACATCTTTATTCTTAGCCGCTTAAATTGCTCGCCTACTCAACCATTCATTATTTTTGTAGTTAGTAATTATGTTTGGGAATACTTAGCTGATAAGTTCGTCTTTTGATGAGACAAAGTTACAGAAATTCTGAGGAAATTGAATCAATCCGCTCGATTCGTCGACCGGTACACGACCATTACCGATAGTCAGCAATTGCTCAGAGAAATCTTCAGCAGATGTATCATTGAGCAGTGCAACTCTCATGTTTGTTGTCAGCTGAAGTTTCTTCACATAGCGCCATAGATTTGATGATTTGAGGCAAGCGTTTATTTCGTCGGCAGCCGTTGATCTTGGAATTACTGGCAGTGTTTGGCAGAAATCGAAAGACAGTAAAATCATTGCACCTCTAACACATCTTGAGTCATTGCGTAGATCTTTCAATGTTCGGTTAAGTGCTTCTAATGCACGTTCGTGCGCTATTGTGCATTATTCCCATGTGATGATTTTCGATGCTGATAAACGTTGGCCATTGCGGAGTATTTTGAAATATTACATGTTGGTTCTTCAATAGTTTGATGATTTAACGGCAATTTTATTGCTGAATGAGCCGTACGGCATCCTTTTAACAATGTGGCTGCTATTCCAGAAAAAGCAACTGCAAGTGCAATATTGGATCTCGCACGAACAGTAGCTAAAACTAATGACATTAGGAATGTCTTACCAGTTCCAACAGGGGCATCCAGGAAATATAAACCACCATTTCTATCATCAAATGCCTTTATTAACCATTGACAAAATTACGTTTAGCTGTCATTTACGTTTTTTTTATTCCATGTCAGACCACGTTTTATAGTGACTTCTTGGTGACTTCACGGAAACGCGGTCGAACGGGATAAAACGTATCCTATATCCCTCTCCTTGTTCTAAGCTACCTCTCCACCAATTTTTAGCCAAATCGGTTCATCCGTTCTTGAGTTATAAATAGTGTAACTAACACCCCTTTCTTATATATATTTAAGGTTAAAATGGACACCAATATGTCTTGGCACAAGTATGTCGCTGGAATTACAAAGGCTGCTTCTCAAAAGCTTGGAACACTGTTACGAACCAAAAAACTGTACATACCTCAGACCTTTTTTGAAGTATTGTTCTCATGTATGAAGCTCCACCCCTAAGCATACCCTGAAGCTGCTGGATTCCTTCCAAAAAAGAATCATCCGTCTGATTGGAGACACGAACATCGCTTGCAACCTTGATGGTCTTGAAATTCAAGAAAACTTGGAGATTTATCTCTTTTCTATAGATACTTTCACGGGAAGTGTTCAAATGACTTGACAAATGTGATTCCATCAAGAGCGCGGTACATATCAGAAATACGCGACGGACTGTGGCTGCTCATCGTTTCGAGATTCAACTCAGTACACCTCGAACTTCCTTGTTTGAGAACTCTTCGATTTGGAGATCTGCATTCATGTGGAATAAACTTCCTGAGAACATTTTTACGAATTGATTACAATCAAATCCAATGTGAGTCGCTA